AACTTATGTTATACATGGTGACAGTGGGGTTAAATAAACAAACAAAGGTATTAGAAAAAAATTTTAAAACAAGGAAAGTTTGATAGTTAATGGCTTAAATATTCATCGGGTAAGGGTAGCTCAGCATGATAGAATAACACAAAATGTTGAAACAGAGATGAAATGTAATCGGAATGATCGTGGAAATAAAAACAAACCGGTTGGGGGTAGAAGATTTGAAGGGAAGATGGAAGGTGAAGCAGGTGGCTGTAAAAGAACAAGAGTATGAAGAAAGAGAAAATTTTTTAATACATTAAGACCATGGTAAAAGAAGAGGTTGTACCAGTCTCTTTTGTACACATAATTCTGGTTTTTCAAAATGTATGGCTATTGCCTCGGCAATGCAAAGACGATGTAGTCTAATTGTCTTAGGAAGGCTTCTACTTACCTTGTAGATGACTTTGAACGCAGAGTCTGTCTTAATTGAGTGACCTGTTTTCACAAGGTGTTCGATTATAGAATTTATTGAGCCGCTGCCTTCTCTTCTTAGCCACGCCGGACAATGTTCTTGAATTCTTTTGGATAAAGTACGCATCGAACGACCTATATACCTAGCTCCACAAGAGCAGGTAAATTGGTAAATGCACATTGAGCTGGTCAGATGCGATAATTTATCTTTCAGATTATTGGTGAACGGTGATCGGCTGGAGAATAATATTCGCAATGTTGCTGCGAAGAATGTTCTTTTTAAAGAATCCGAAATTCTCCTCTTTAAGATATATGCGGCTCCATCACCTTTGAAGTCGATGTTCATGTATAAAATTTTCTTTTCTACTATAATTGTTTGTGGTTTAGGCATTTTCGGCTTCATGTTCTTATCAATGAATATAGAAGGATATCCGTTTTTGATAAGTATCTCTTTTAAAAGGCTCAATTCTTCCTCTACGACCTCGGGGCTACAGATTCTTCGTATTCTTGTGGCGAGAGTTATTATTAAGTTTCTTCTTCGGCTGATGGGAACCCAACTGTGGAAATTTGATAGTTGGCCATTCCACATGGATTTCCTGTAGATAGATCTTTTCAAAGTACCACCTTGTTTTCTTGTCATATCTACATCAACGAAGTGAATATTTTGTTTGCTTTCAACTTCAAGTGTGAATTTTATTGATGGGTGACAATTATTAAATGTCTTTAGGAGATCACTTAAGTTACATTTGTTATCACAAATGATAAAGATATCATCCACATACCTTTTATATAAGTGGAGATTATTCACACAATTCGGTTTATCAACGTTCGTCAAAACATTACTCGGAATATAAAAAACACATGAATTTCTTCAAAAATTCTTAAAATGATTTTAATCATACAGAGAGAATTAGTATCCTTCTTCTATCGAGAGCTATAGATACATACCACAGTTACAAAACAAACAAACAATAGGAAAGGTGAGTGGGGAGGGTGGAAAAAAGTTTTAAATGACATTATTGTTTAGAATTAATTGATAGTACTACAAAATCTATATGGTATCTTAAAATTTTATCAAATTTAAATTTCTGTCTCCATATTTGACATGTTGAAAGGTGTATCATTCAGATTGATTTGAATAACCTAAAACTTTAATCAAATATGTTTTTTTTGCCCTTAATTTCATTGATTTCATTTAAATAATTAATAAATAGTAATTAATAACAAGTAATTGACCTAAAATACTGGTTGAATGATTTCCATGTTATGAGTGTATGCTAAAACAATGAGAGATATGTAACAGATTTAGTTCAGGATAAAACAAACTTAATCTAATAAAGATTCATTTTAATTTGAACTTATAACGCATCATCAATGCTCATCTTAAATTGAGCTAAAATCAAGAGTTGGTGGGTTTTTTTTACAACAGAAACGAGATTATTTTGTAACATTGTTGTTAACCGGTAAGTCAACATTTTGATCAGTGAAAATACACTGATATTGTTTGATCATAAACCAATGCTATTTGTGAATAATTTAGTTAATCTAGTTAGTGGTTTCTTTACCTCAATTTCAAAAATCTATCCAAAAGCTGTGATATTTTGTTACAATCTCTTTTGGAAATTAATATGTTTCAACCACTGTATCCAATTCGTTTAATGATGTAACTTTAGAGATATTTTCACTTTACAGTATAATTTTAACAAAGATATACTAACATTTTCAATTTACAAATCATTCAGTTAATGAGTTGAACAGAAATTAATCGATCTGAATAAGACATCTTACTGAATAAATTCAATTTGAATCCAATTTTGATGAATTTAACCACAATAAGATTATTTATGTATTTAATGTTCACAATAAGTTAATCTGACAAGTAATTAGTTTTTGGTTGAGATCATGAATCAATTGATGTTAGACCACCGTTGGAAACCTGGAAGCACTGGACGGCCGTTTCGTCCTAGTATGGGACTCCTCAGCAGTTCGCATCCACGATCCCGCGAGCGGGATTCGAACCCAGGACCTACTGGCTTCGCGCCTGAGCACTTAACCATTAGACCACTGAGCCGGCATCCAATGGTGTTAGTGTCTAACATCAACGAATCCACGAAATTGCGCGACCAATTTCCATTGTACTGAGGTAGATACCTGTCTCTACCCGACACGGATTAGCTCCACTGGTCACGACTTCTCACTAGGACGAAACGGCCGTTCAGTGCTTCCAGGTTTCCAACGGTGGTCTAACATCAATTGATTCATGATCTCAACCAAAAACTTAACAATCTCCACAACCCCCATACTGATAAGTAATTAGTTATTAACAAAATACTCATTTCAGTTGTACATAACAAACGAATGTTTTTATATACATAATATAATTTAATATTAATTCAGAACATCAGATGAGCTAGCTATTATATAATCAAGAAATTATGTTCACTTTAAAACTAGTTAGGAATTAATCAGTCATCTTTGAGTTTAAGTTCAAATATGCTTATCAAAACTTATGTTTTATTAAAGAATAGTCATTCATTGATTTACTAAAGGTTACTCATTTGTCACTTCTAATTTTAAAGATGTTTACACTGTCGATCTGATCATAAGTCATTCTAGGATAATTAGTATGTTTGTTACATAGAAAAAAATATGAGTGAACAAATAAATTAGGTCTTTAAATTAATCTGAAAATAAATTAGAATTTAATTGCTAAAATTGTCTAAGAAAACTATAACTCATCTTCTTGATAAATCTAAAGATTTTATTGGTTTTATAACTAGTGCCAAATTGGAATAAAACAAATACATAATTGATTGATCACTGGGCGGTGATCAATGTCATGTGTGTCAAATCCTTGTTTAGTGCAAATCGAATGCTATCGACCATGTTACAATGTGGCCACCAGTCTAGGTGACTCGACACTGCGTGCATTATATATTGAGATTATATAGTGGTTGGAGCTAGTCGATAGGAAACCTTGGATCCGAGTTTCGTGCTACTTGGAACTCGTCAGCAAGGTGTACCTGTAATTTTGAAGGAACTGATGCTCCCTGACGGATACGATCCCATGTCACCCAGCTCTATAGTCAGGGGCGTTACCACTGAGCTATCCGGGCAGCGATCAACCGTCTATAGAACTGAGATGTAATGACAATTGAATGATCACTGGGTGGTGATCAATGTCATGTGTGTCAAGTCCAAACGAATACATTCTTATTTATAAACTCTAATTTTTTCCATAAAATCTTTTGTCAAATTCAAATGAAGCTCGTTGAGTTCGCTTGACATTTATGCTTTGAATGTATTCAGCTTTAAACGACTACTTTCATGATAGTCCATAATAAGTGTTTAACTAGATAAACGAAATAAGATACAAGGTAGTGTTTATAATCCAAATAATTGAGTCTTAATTTAATTCACCACTCATTTTCATTCATTATTATGGAAGATATAGACTTACTACTTACATTTAGAGAATATACATATATTAAAGGCATTTAATTATTTAGATATTTCGAAAATAATCCAATTTCTATCCATTAGAAAAAATCTATCATTGAATACAATTAGAGAAAGTGAATTCATTCAGGTTTATTTTTTCTCTGATCAAAAACTTGATATATTTTTAGATTTTTTACTCTTCTAGCTTATAATTATTTATTATAAATTATTCTTCTCTAAATAAAATAAGGTTTTCATTATAATTTTGTTTGTTTGCCAACTGTATCCATTTTGTATATACGTGAATGTAAAAATTTATTTAATCAAGTTAATGCATACTACTTAATAACAATTAAGATATATATATTATTACTATTATACTACTTTATTGTCATTCCTAAATATCTTGACAATTTAACAATATTTAATAAAACTATGTAGACTCTACTGATTATATTTTGAATGTATAACTATGTATGGGATCAGTAAATTATGTTTTTAACAACAACAACAAACAAACGGACAATATCGTCTACTTAAATTTAAAAAGTAGTTATCTTTAAAAGAAAATTAGTTCAAATGGAAATAGAACAAAATAAAAAGATGTTCAGTCTTTTATAATGTTACTTTACTCTAATTACATAAAATGATTATACTATAAAGCATTTATATTGAAATAATAAAAAAGTTAATCTTTCATATTTTTAATGAAAACCATTTATCTATGGTTATTATCATTGATGTAGGATGAAATTATAATTAATTTACAAGTTAGAATAGGTGATCTTACTATTATGAACCAATGAATGAATATTTGTTACCAGACTCAGATATTTTGACAGAAAATGGATCCATTTTTTTAGAAGTACTTAACTAAGATAACCAGTAGATTTTTTCAGCTGGTCAAACCTTGTGAATAAGGCTATTTACAAATTGAACAACATTTTACAAACAACATTTTTGAATATAACTTTAAAGGAATTTATGATAGCGTGGGAACTTTAACTAAGAATAAAAAATAAGCGTTTGACAAGTTACTAAATACCTATGAGACCAAACTATATATATTGGGGGAAATGTGAACTATTAATAAACATATAAGTAGTAGTTACCTTAGCAGCTAAAGATGATGATGGATGATCCATAAATAACCACATTCTATATCGCCATTTTTTCCATCCTCTAGAAAATTTGACAAGATTTTGCATCGAATCAATATCTTCAAAACAATCACGAAACAATGTATTTTTTGTTCGTTTCTCTTCATCATATCTCATATAGGCAGGCATACAACAAGGACCAATTAATGCTTCATCAATACCCCAAAATATTAATTCTTTACGTACAAATGGACCACATATACTTGATGGTAAATGTAATTCTCCAGTTCTATAATAATCTAATACGAAACGAAATATTTCTGGATCACGATCATAAAAGTAAACGATTGGAGGTGTTGCCATTATAGGTGCGTTAGACAATTGGGTAAACTGATTAGTTGATTTTGGTGATAACAATGAAACAGGATTATTTGATGATGATTGATATAAATCAGTTCCGTGAGATGGATTCACTATTGGATTAGTAAAACCAGAGCCACGATTTCGGCATATTGACGAAGCTGACTGTAAATTCATATTTCCTGCAACCATTGATGCTATATTATCAGGAAGAATTGATGCTCCACCAATTAAAGCACCATCATTTGGTCCATTTCCAACTAATCGACCAGATGTTTGTGATTGTGATAAATATTTTGAAGCTACATCAGAATTATTATCATTCATTGATTTGACAAAATCATCGCCTAGATTTAATTGATTTGTGTAATTTATATTCGACTCTTGATTACTTGATCCTTGTGTAGCAATTAAATAAAGTCGACTGTCTGGTAATCGATAAAGTGTAGCTCTTCTAGTTACAAATAATCGACCTCCAATACATAGGCAGATTAAATCACCGGGTTTACCAGAGCTTTGTGATGTTCCAACCATTTTTTTCTAATTTTGTTTTCAATAATAAATAGTTTGGATTTGAATGTTTTTTTTAACAATAGATTACCTAGAGAATGGTATATTAAAATACAGAAAAGTGTATTTTTTATTTTCAGTATACTTATATCATACATAAATCAATACTGTTGAGTTATATACTTATCGTCTAAATATGATGGGATCAAAATAGCTTGGCAACAAATAGTATTAAAAGGAAACGATTAACCAATGACTAATATAATTCCGACTACCTAAATACTTGTCCATACGATTAGTTGAAGAATTCAGATTATTGAGCTCATATTACATACTTATCAATTAGCACACACAAGGAAATTGAAAGATATGCTTATGAAAAAGCTTTAGCACAAATATAGGGAGTGAATTTAAAAACAATGATATTAAACTGATAATATGGATGAAATGTTTTTGATTGTTATATCCTTTGTGTTATTCAACTGGCTTGTATCAAGATTTCTATATTTCTCCGTGACTTTTGTTGATCGAATAGGTATTGTGAATGAGTTAAAGTAAACACTGAAATAGATAAAATTTGAAATTGTTCATTTTGTAGAACAATTTTTACAATGGTACATTTATTAAACGATTTCCATGAATCACGTCCCAGCAAAATGAATTAACCATTTCACAACAAAAAATACGTCTCGAAGTTCAAATATGTCATTTCATATAGATTTGAGTTGATACATTTTGATGATACATTGATTATCAAGAATAAGGGTATTATATTAGATAAGAATCTAGCATAGTTTGATTGGCAATCGAATTTTAATGTCATATCAATGTATTATATCTCAAGTGAGTTTTGATGATATCAATTTTTATTATGCATGAGTTTGCATATATTTTGTTCTGTTTTATTGAAAATGGACACATTTGTCTACCCAGATTCTTTTCCCTTCAACAAAAATTCATCTAGGTTCATTTTGTGCCAGTATTTTGATTATAGAAATTTATTGTTAATTTGTCATAACTCAAACAAAATAGAACAATCATCACACTTAATAAATACAATATATCTTGTTGTAATCAAAAAGATATTCTGCCTTATCATCAAAAACCTTTGCAAATACTCTGATACCTTCCAAACCAATTACTGATTAGACTAAATGGTTCATGGAATAACCCACTGGGCATCGAAAATAAAAGATACCGGGTAAATCATAATAACTAGTTGAGAAAAGAATGAATCACGTTTTCTGAATTCCACTGAGAGCCACATGCCGATTATACTATTTCTTTCTATACCGAAACTTTCCACCTGTGACCATAATTCACAAAGGTAAGTCTACTCAAACCAGGGAAGTTTGATAAAATATACTTTGATTCATGCAAAGTAATAACAGTTTAAAAAGAGTAATGAATAATTCTAATATTTTTATCTTATGATTCACTTCACGAGATATTTCATCTATGAAAACGTAATGCTCAGTTGTTATAAACCGTTATGCTGTTTACAGATCGGTATTTCTCCTGTGATCTATGAAATAAACAAGTTGTGTACTCAAGAGAACAGTTAATAATCTGGAATAATAATAAACCTTGGTAATTTATCTTTACTTTCTCATATATTTTGTTCCAATTAACAAGTTGCGGTCGAACATTTTGGGAGATTAAAGATCATTTTACTGGTCGATTGCATGTGAAATAAACATCGAAATATTAATGATAATGATACTGATCACACATCCTATTTGTGTATTTAGTAACCTTTCTATGGAATATGTGTTTAAGATTATCAAGTCAGATATTTTATGAAGTTACTTTGATTGCTCGTTTATCGACTTGGTTTTCTCGTCAGTAAACATGACAGTAGTAAACGGCCGAGATTTAATGTACGGTTATTGTGATTCCTGACCCTTAGTCATGAAAACTTTATGGGAATGATTAAAGAAATTAAAATATAAATGATTGGTTAACTTGTTTTAAAAATATTTGCTCATGTGTTAAGGAACATTTTCGCGACTGAAACGCTACCAGATACAACATACTTAATAACAAGTTATCAGTGTCCGTAACAATGTTCAAAACAATAAAGCTAGTATTTTGTAAGTTATTTACGTTCATAGTTTAGAGAAAAGATGATCAGTCGAGGTATATTTACATTTTATATCATTTTTCAGAAATCGGTAACCAATAATTACCATTTTAAAACTAATTATTTTATTGAACAAAACGGGATAAGAACTCTTTATTTAGAAAAATATGAAAATAACCGTGCGATTAATGATATTCGTAATGAACTTGACAATACGTATAAAGTTAATAAAAGTGCTTTTATACCTGTTATTGTTAAGTAATTAGAGAAAATCAGCGAGAACCCATTGGATCTGTATTTCAAGCTAGTTCACAATTACTACTTGACCTCCTATAAAACTACTGATCATAATGTAAATTGATCGATAAGATTCGATCACCATGGATGACTGAACAATATCACATTCTTTATTACTTAATGATCAGCTATTTTAAATAATCAACTTATTTATTTGAATATTATTAACACATAACATTCAACTAGTAGAAAGCATTTCATCTAAATTGGAAACCAGTCAAACAAAAGATTTTTATTTGGAAATGATAAAGTAGTATGTTTTAGTGTCATCGGAAAAGAGCAATACACATGAATGTCGGCAAGTTCATAAAACAAATCTCAAATGATTCGAGTTTTATAAATTCCTTAACTAACTAAGACAAATAAAATAATGATTTTAAAGAATTATACATTTAATTAATTTCTTAAATATTTTCCTTTTGTGTTTAATTAATTCTCATTATTATTTAACAATCATTCTAATTTAACAGTTGAATTCACAAGTCGATTGAAGCTAGACCATCATAGAAAATCTAGATGCACTGGACGGTCGTTTCGTCCTAGCATAAGACTCCTCAGCAGTGCACATCTACAATCCCAACTCGCGAGATTTGAACCCAGGACCTATCAGACTCGCACGCGAACGTTTAACTTCTAAACCACTGAACTGTCATCCTACGATATTAATGTTTAACTTCAACCAATTTATGAACTCACAAAATTGTACCACCGTTTATTATTGTCATTAGTGAGTTACTATCACACAACAACTTGTTGTTTTTATTTAGTTTAATGTCAGTAAACTAGAAATATGTTTTCCTGACAAATGACGAAATTCTTTTTTTTTTTAATTTTTCATCTACCAAAAAAAACGGACTTATTTTCATGTATCAATATACTGTGTCGGTAATCATGGTGACAGATGATTCGTTATTGTTTATTGATAGAAAATGTAGACAATTTTTGTTACTTTAATTCATTAGAAAAAATATATTTATTAGTGTATAGTTTATTGTAACGAAAATCTGAATTTCATGAATACATTAGTAATATTCATATACTATTATCAGTCATCATAATTATAATAATCTATAATCAAGAAATAAAAAGGTATTTCATGGATATACTAAAATGTATTTTGTTTTTCTATTCTTTTTAATAAGAAAACATTTCAAGGCCATCAGGAAATAATGAATCTGTAATGAGTATGCATTGAGTTGCTTAAAATAATTACAAAATCTATAAGTTAAAAGGAATTGTAATAAAAATAATTATTGATAATGAATGAGATAGTTTTAGTGGTATTTACAGTTATGCTTTAACAAAAGGTGATATCGAAGTTAGCTGTATTTGTTTGACATTATAATGAATATACTATCAAGAGTTAATCATAATATCTAATTGTTTGAAATACAAATGACATTCAAATACTAATAAGAGTTTAAGTAATACTTTCTCTAATCATTTAATCTTTCTAAAGAAATTTGGTTATAATGGATGAAGGAAGGTTATAGAATTTAATAAACTACTGATTAATTTAGTAATAATTTTTAGCTTCTTTTTATTCGTAGAAATAGTGTATATATTAAAAAAATCCATTCTTTCAAAAGTGAGGACTAAAAGAATCTGTCATTTAGATGGTGGTTGAAGGTAGTCAACAGGAAACCATGGACCCGGGTTTCGTGCTATTTGGCACTTGTCAGCAAGGTGTACCTGTTATCTTAAGGGAACTGGTGCTCCCTGGTGGATTCGATCTCGTGTTACCCAGCTTCACAGTCAGAGAAGTGTCAATTCACCTAGACTGGTGGGCACATTGTAACATGATCGATAGCATTCGATCTGCACTAATAAGGACTAGACAAGCAAGACATTGATCACCACCCAGTGATCAATCAATTGTAAAAGAATGTGTCATCATTGGTGGATTGTTCAAAGACATTTATATAATAAATTGCACATAATTTTGTAATCAACCAGACTATAGATGAACTTAATAATCTGTTATGTGTAGTGGAACGTGATGTCGAAGTTGTAACAGTTGTCGGATAGAGTGAAGAATTTTATTGCATCGAAAGCACGGAGTTAGTAAAAACACATGGCGGCCAATTGAGAAAACAGTTCAGATTGCAGAATACAGTGGAAGATGTTAATGAATGATTAAAGGTTATGTATATGTATTATAATTTGTAATGGATTTTCGTCCAACCTATTGTCATGTTTTAAACATTTCCTAATTAAATGATCTCATCAATAATGTAGTATATGTAACATTGCGAATTGTAAGGCTGTTTGATATTGTTACATAACGACACTCAAAATAGTTAAATGACCATTTTGTTCGTGATCAAATTACGCTATTTAAATGCTTAATTGCATATATTCATTTTTTATAGCTAAATTACTAATTACAATAATGAAACGTATGGTAAATATCCGTTAGACATTGACATTGTAAATCATGAACAAACTATAAGGTAACGGGAAAGACCTCACGATATTGCCACTTGCTTTAATTAGAAACCAGCATATATTTAAGATATATAATGTTTATATTATGCTCTAAGCTTCATTCCTCTATACCCCATTTAAAAATTAATCATTATAATATAATTCCTGAAATTTTACATAGATTAACCGCTTAGATTACGAACATTGTTCACTAATTTTATCGTGTCCAGTAGTTTCAGTCATTATTTTGTTCATTTAGTTAGTGCTGCATCTTAAAGTAAACT